TTAACGACGACGGAGTTCCTCCGGAGGTCTACGCCCGAAGATTTGCGAAGATCTTCGCCAAAAAAATTTCCTGATGTTTATTAAATACTTCCGTTACACTTGAACAGTGAATATGTCAAATCCTTTCTGTAACTTGGAGGCCAATCTGCATAAAGTGGTTGCAGTGCCTTCATGCATTAAGGTAACTAATTATAAACCAAATCCGGCGACAACACCACCACTTACTCCTTTTGCCATATATCAAGTCATATTTGAAAAGCAAGGATGCTAATCCTACTCATGACTTGGAGGCTAACCTATAAAAATATGGCTGTAGTGCCTTCATATGTTTAGGTAATCAAATTAACTCTAGAAAACTAGACATCACCCTAAGGGATTGATATAGGTTTTGAAATTCATTTTACTGTATTTCTTGGGGGATACCCGGAGCAAGATGAGGGACCAATATGTGTCTTGCGTTTAACTCTACTTATAGCTTAGAGAGATGTATGTTATTTTGTCAAAATTGTAAATCTTCACTAAAGTTAAAAATTACAATAAATATATAAAGAGTGATAATTGTCTTAGCTTCTTAAAAAAAAAAAAAAAAAAAAATTATAAAAAAAAATAGAATAATAAATTTGAAAAATAAATTATAAATTTAATTTATATTAATAAATTTAATTCAATATAATATAATTAATTTATATTGAATTTTTTAAAAAAAATAAATTGATTATAAATTTTTGTTATATTTTCAAAAGTTTAAATAAAATAAAAAAAACAGTTTCTAAATTATTCTTCTTGAATTAAAATTAATAGAAAATCAAATATTAGATTCAAATAATTTTTAAATTATTATATTTTAATTATAATAATTCTGAATATTAAATAATTGTTATAATATTTTTTCTATAATTAATATTATTAATAAATTATTACTTTCAATTATTTTTACTTGTATTTATTAACTTTATATCTGAAACAATACTTAATAAAAAATATATTTAATACTTTTTACAATTTTCTATTATTAACTTTATAACTTTTGTAAACTTTTTATACTAAGTTATATTGATTTAAATTTTTTTATTTAAAATCTTTTAATTCAAGAAAAATCTTTTTGCAAAAAAATCTATGCTTTAAAATAAAATTTAATTAATTTATATTTAAATAATTAGTTTTATTTAAATAGAATATATAATTATTCAAAGAATTAAAAACATATTATATAATATTATGACTTCTAATAATATCATTTCAATATTATTTTAATATTAATTTAATATTTAATTTTATTATAATTTATATAAGTAGGTAAGGATGAATCCTGAAACTATTTAATATATAAAATTTTGCAAATAAATTATGTCTTTTTGAAAGGAACATAATTATTTTACTCTTTATTTTAATAGAAATATAATTTAAAAAACATTTAAATTAAATAACTTAAACTACAAAAAATCTTTATAAATAGTTGTTTTTAATTTTTATATTAAAAAAAAAACTTTTTTAATAGTAAGAGACATTTGAATTATGTTCTTGCCTTTAGTTTAAGGATCTATCTTTATAAGTGAATCCTAATTCATATATTAAATTTACTATAAATTAATACTATTTCAATATTACTTTGATGTTAGTTCAATATTTTTCAAAGTTTTAAATTATATAATAAAAAATATTGACAAAAAAAGAGAAAAAAAAGAAAAATTAAAATTAAACTGCTTTTTATTATACAGTATATTTAAAAATAATACTTAATTATTAAATTTAAGTTTTCAATTTTAATAAATGCAATTTATATTTAATCTAATTGAATTACTAGGTTACATATATTACTAATTCTGTAATAATAAATAAACTATAATAAATGGTTTAATAAAACGATTTAAACATTTCCAAAATATTTTGTTTTATGCAAAAATATCGTAATATGAATTAAAAAAGGACATTTAAAAGTTACTTATAAGGAACTTGCGATATAAATAGCAACTGCATCTATAAGGCCTTATCAGTCAGATCAATCCTTTAAAAGCACCCAATCAAAAATTTATACCTATTTGGGAGTATCAACATTACCACTTTCTTACTTTTTTGCCCCTAAAAAAAAAAAGAAAAATTTTCGACTCTGCCCTTGTTAATAATATTATCCGGGTCTTAGCGACACACTATAAGAGAAATGATCGAGCCTGGAAATGTAAATAGCAATGGGGAAACCTTAACAGAATTTGCGTTTCCAGCCCTTGATGTAAACTCGTTTCAAGAAAGCGCAGAGCCCTCTCCCTTCTCTGGTGGTCCGATTCGACACAGCAAAAAACGTAATCACACAAACACACCATATACTAGATTTACAAACTCAGCTAATTCAAGCTCTCAACCAACCCACTGGCTATCGAACATTATTAGCAAGTTCCTCCCGGGATGGTTGAAAGATTTTATATGGCCGCAAACAACTCAAAGAGTCGCAACTGAGGATACCTCAGTAGCTTCTAGTTCAAATTTAATTGAAACAGAAAATATAGTTCAGAGTTCTATTGATGAATTACATGGAACGATTGTGGAAAGAGAAGAAAATCATCTTCAATCATCTCAGTTAAATGCAGTTAGTAGAAGTTCATTAAAGGTTAAATATAGTAGATTAGGTTCTTCAAGAGGGACAGCAGTTTTTGGCGGCCGAATAAAATCAAGTTCTGCACAAAGGCGGGGAACCATCACCCGAGCAAGACCAAACCACATTTCTGCACGAGAAGAGGACCTTTTGTATCCCGGAGAGATGAAAGATTCTTTACCGATCAAAAATGAACTTTCGGAAATACCATCAGATTGGTATAAACCTTTTAAAGATTTAACAGTAAACGACTCATTCTCATCATTTACATCAGATACATCGTCATCCTCTAAAAAAGAAACTCATGCAATCAAAAAACCATCAAGTAAAGGACCTCCCCTTAAAAAATTTAAGACCAATCTTGTGCCTGATGCTCACTGGTTTGATTATTATCCTTCGGAGAAGAGTAATAGTGAGAAAAAGTCGACGCTTGTTTCAAAGAGCTTAACTTCCAAAAAGCAGCCTATTAATGGTACTGTTCCTATTCAAACGCAAAACCCTTCAGTCTCTACTGTTTCAACAAAATCCACATCTGATTCTGGAAGAAAATTTGCCCTCGAGATGTCCGGTACTCAAGCAAAAAATTCATTTTCTTCTACACCCAATTCAGAAAACAAAACACCTGATGATCAAATAAAAAAATCATCAACTTCTGCTGTAATTGAACCTACGCTCAATTCTGGAAACCAATTGGCGTCTGTTGATCAAACAAAAAAAATCTCAACTTCCATTACTTCGACCTCATCTACATCTGATTTTGGGAACGGATTTTTATTAGGGATATCTGTTGATCAAACAAAAAAGTCTCTAACTTCTACCTCTGCTGCTTCAAATAAATCGGACCCTGATTTTGGAAGCAATATTGAATTTGAGACACTCAACGATCAAACGAAAAAACCTTTAATTTCTGATAATTTAGAGGAGCCTACCTCCAATAGTGGAAGTAAGATTACATTTGGGGTTATCGACGGTCAAACGAAAGAAGCCTCAGTCACGCCAACAAATCCTGCTGTCGGTTTCGGAAGTAAGTTTACATTTGGTATATCCGGCGATCAAACAAAACAACCTTCAGCTAAGTCTGCGTCCGATCTTGGAAACAAGTTTACGTTTGGGATAGTCAATGATCAACCAAAAGAACCTTTAGTCGCCTCAACTACATCTGGGATGGCTAGTGATCAAACAAAAGAACCATTAGTCGCGTCAACTAAATCTGCTCCTGATTTTGGAGGCAAATTTACATTTGGGATTTCCAGTGATCAAACAAAGGAACTTTCTGCCACCTCAATTAAACCTGCGTCCGATCTTGGAAAGAAGTTTACATTTGGGATGACCGGTGATCAATCAAAAGAACCTTCGACCGCATCAACTAAGTCTGCGTTAACCAGTGATCAAACAAAAGAACTTTCAGCTGTATCAACTGAACCTGCATCAGACCTTGGTGACAGCCTTACTTTCGGGACAACCAGTGATCAAACAAAACAGCTTTCAGTTGCCTCAACTAAACCTGCGTCTGATTTTGGAGGCAATATTACATTTGAGAAATATAATGAACAAACAAAAAAGCCTTCAATTTCTGCTACTTCAAATGATGCTACATCCAATAAACTCACGTTTGGTATGCTTGCTTCAACTAAACCTGCATCTAATTTTGGAAAAAATTTTACGTTTGGGACACCTGACGGTCAAAAAGAAAAACCACTGGATTCTTCTACTTCAACTAAAACTTCACCAAATTTTGGAGCACTTTTTACACCTGACAAAAAATCCTTAAATTTTTCGACGCCAACGAAATCAGTGTTCAATTTAGAACCCTCTGCTTCAATTAAACCAATTTTTGGAACATCTAGCAGCCAAGCACTGAATGCAACAACAACTAGTATTTCAACCAAGTCCCATTTTGACTTTGGAAATAGTCCCGCGAAATCAAATATCTCTTCTGATGTTCCACATTCTTCATCTGCGCCCAAAATCGTTTCTAACAATGAGGGTCAGATGGCTAATGAAAAGGAAGAATCATTTAAAACATCGAGTTCTGAAACTCCTATTAAGTCGAAAAGTGATGAGACTTCAACCGGACCTAAGGAGATCGAACCAAAGAGGGATGAGACCTCACTAGAATCGAATAAGGATGAAACTTTTCTACAATCAAAGAAAGATAATGGTAAATCTGAATCAAAAAACGATGAGACCTTACTTGAATCAAAGAAAGATGGGACCGCGCCTGAATCAAAGAAGGATGATACCGTGCTTGAACCAAAGAAGGATGATGCCGTGCTTGAATCAAAGAAGGATGATACCGTTCCTGAATCAAAGAAGGATGGAGCTTTAGATCCATCTAATTTACCATCTATATTGACGAGCAATTCAAAGGAAACCATTGGGGATATTAAAGATAAAAGTTCACCGTTTGCTCCTAATAGTTCTCATACACAAACACTTGTTCCGAGTCCCTCATCTGGATCTCCGATGGATATAGACACAAGTAATGTTAACCATCAAGCCTCCATTCCACAATCATTATCTTTTACCTCTACATCTTTCGATTATTCGAATTTCGGACAAGATCTTGGAAAAAGTTTTTCTTTCAATAGTGGCGGTCAAATATTCAATTTTAACTCTGGAGATATGTCGTCAACAGATGCACAATCAAGTTACGGTTCTAAACATCGACAATTTATTCCTAGAAAACAACGGAACAAACGTTCCTATGAACCATCCGGTAACGAAGGGCGCAACATATTGTTAAATCCTAAAACAGATTCTTCTGACGGACATAGTTCCAATCGAATGATGATGTCCGAACCTGGCGCGTTTACTTTCCAAATGGATTCTCAAAAATCTGATTTACCAACTATTCCAACTCAACCAATTTCATCAACTGGCTCAATTTTCAAATTTGATATTCCTGAAAGTCAAAAAAATTCTGGAAATCCGTTTCAAACTACGCCCATTTCCCAACCATCTTTACAAGGATCGAACTTGACCACATTTAAATTTCAAGACCCTCAAAGTAACTTTATGCCACAAGTTCCCTCATCTACATCGATCTTCACTCCCTTCAACGGAAATGGAGGAACTTCTGGTTTCAATGCACCTCAATCGTTGATTTTTGATGCTAATGCTAATTCAGCCGGTAGTGGTTCGAGTACTCCCACAAATATAAATATGAATAGTGGTGTTGGGCAGTTATTCTCTCAGCAAAACCAGCAAAACCAGCCAAACAGAGTGTTAGCCAGAATGCGTAAGCCTAAAAGAAAATAATTTGAAATGAAGTTTTATTTTGTAATTGAGTTTACGTAAGTTGATTTATCCTTCGTTTCATTTGCAAAATTTAAATGCTGTATTCGAACACGATTTTTTTTTTCAATGGGTTCCAAAGTGAAATCTTTTAAAAATATAGATTTTGCTATTCCGAACAATTATTAATGCTGAGCAATAATCTAAATGTCGAAATATAAACGGCGATTCGCTTTAAAAAACTAGGTCTTAATGTCGCTATTCCATGATCAAATTGAAGGGACAAGTTAGGATTAGGTCATGCAGAATTATTACAAATTTATCATAGAATATTCAAATATTGCATTGATTAGTTAGAATAGTTCGAAAAAAAATTATTTTACGAAAATATAATAAAATAATAAAATAAAATATTTTTCTAATAGAAATTTCTGTATCTAACATATGCATGCACATCATTAGAGCCTACACGTGATAACGTTCTCCAAATTAATTTTTTTTTAAGACAGTACTTTTCTACGCAAGGGTCAAATTCATAATCATGGGCTTAGATCTCGATGCGTGTATCTCTCAGTTACTTCAAAAGCAACTACTCGCAGAATCTCTGCTTAAAGAAATTTGTGAGAAAACCAAAGAACTATTAATGCTTGAAAGTAATGTAGTTCACATTTCAGCTCCTGTAACCGTTGTTGGTGACATTCATGGGTAATGGTTATATACTCAACGCATTGTTTGTTAGCTATGCCTACCATAGAAAACAATCTATTGATTTTGCGCACGTATTTTAGAC